TTTTTTTTTTTTTTTTTTTTTTTTTTTTTTTTTTATATACGAGTTGGGAGAGCATGGTCTCTTCGTACCTGTCGCGATGCAAAGGGAAATGTTTTTACAAATGTGGTGGAACGAAGTGGAAAAACGTCGAAATAGTAGCGTCGAAAATCGTAGAAAAATGATGAACACGTCGAAAATCGTAGAAAAAGTTCTGTGTTGTTGCATTGCGTAAGGTACGAGAAACGTTATATTTTATCCTCCTTCATTTTTTTCTTTCTCTCTCACTTCTCTTCCCCTTTGTTTCCATCATTACCATTATCGCTTCTTCTTCTTCTTCTTTTTCGTCTTCGTCTTTTTCTTTTTCTTCTTCTTCTTTTCTTTTTTTTTATTCTTCTCTGCAACCTTGTATTTTCGTCATCCCTTCAACGTCGTACGTTCCTTAGGTAATCACGTGATATAACGTATGCAACATCGCTATAATAGATATATATATACACAGTACAATTACGGATTAGCGTTCACATTTATCATACCGATAGATAATATTAATAACATGGTTGTGTATTTTTCATCGTGTAACTCGCTGCTAACAATTCCTACGTATTCCCTAGCTGCTAAACGTTAACTAAAGTTTCTGCTTAATTCATATGCCAGTGTTTAATGTTTTTTTTTTTTTTCTTTTATCTCGTGATTTTTTTTTTTTTTTTTTTGCGTCTCTGTTTTGTCTTCGCTTATTCCCTTACGCGTACATATTTAAAACACAAGTCAATTACATCTAAATCCCTCTCGATAATAGGCATACCGGCATGCGTTGCTCGGAACTCAAATACACTCTTTCTTTCTTTCTTTTTTTTTCTTTTTTTTTTTCTTTTTTTTTGAATACATTGCGCTTTTTTTCCTCGTCGCGCTTCAACGCTGTTTGAAGTTTGAAAAATTAAAACTTGGTGTATATCGGTATCGAGATAATGATATCATGTAATCGGTTGTATCGAATGGCAATCGAAAGGATCCACAATATCAACTTGAAACAAGAAAAAAAAAAAAAAATATATATATATATATATATAGACCAAAAACAGGACGCATGTTATTATATATGCTGTAAGATTGATAATGTTCAGTTTGTTCTTTCATGTATGTCATCATAATGTATATATGACATGTCGATTAAAAAAAAAGGAAAAATATGAAGAAACAGAGGAAGAAAAAAATAGGCGGGAAATAAAAAAAAAAAAAGAAGATGCGATGGTAACGCAAACGAGAGGGGGAGGAGACGCGAAATAAGGGACGTGTTTGCGTATCGTGTGTCTAGCTATATAGCACTATTTCCCAATCTTTCTTGAATCGCGATTATCTTTCGTTATTTAATTATTATCAAAATAATTTCCCCTTAATATCTTGAATATATTCAATGGAATAGAATATTAAAATATCATTCTTACATCGAATTAAATATACGAAAAATTCGTTCGTTAAATTTTTTTGCACAATTTTATTTATAATAATAAATAAAATTTCAATTAACCAATTCCAATGAATGGAGCTATGATTGTTAAAGATCGCGATCCAACAAAATTGGAAATCGATAGAATAGAATAGCTATAGAATTCCATTTATTCGAACGAATTATTTCAATCGAATTACTTGATCAATTGTATCTCTGTTGTTAAATGATCTCCATTTATCGAATCGTATTTTTTTTTTTTTTAATTAAAAAATCTGAAGATGGAGAGAATTAACGAACTCTTATTATTATACGCGAATTGCTCATCCCTCGATAAGTCGGGATAAATGGAATCCTAAATCCTTGTAATTCAGCCGATCGGTGCTTTGCTCGCGTTCAACCCTATCGAATCGATCGTTCCTCCCCTCGAAAAGGCACGGGAAAATCATATCGACTCGTTGAGAAGCCAAGGGCTCGCTCGCTCGCTCGTTTCTTCGTCTTAATCTAAAAATATCGTGCTTCGTGTCAAACATGATTCGGTAGAAAAATGGAAAATTCGGGAAATGCGTATTTGCGAGGATCGTTGAAGCGGTGGTGGTAGTTGTGGTGGTAATTGCTCCCAGTGTTTCAGCCTTCTACGTTTCAATATGTATATATACATATATATTTTTATCGTTTCTTTTTTCTCTGGTATTTGTTTTTTTTGGGGGGGATTTATTTTTTTTTTTTTTTTTTTTTTTTTTTNCCAGTTCTCGCGACTCGGAAGGATTATTAGGGAGGGGGGAGGAGATTCTTTCTTTCGAGGAAAGGAAGGAAGGGGGAAGAGAAATACATACGGGGGAGGGAGTATTAAAAAAAGTGTACAAGCGATAGAAAAAGTCTGTCGAGTGTCGCGATAAACATGCATGCCGGAAACAATTTACGAGAAGGGAGTGAACGATCTTTAATATCGGCTCTTGCACGAAATATCAATGAAATTATCCGATCCGCCACGCTCGTTTTTTCCCTCGCGCTGCCAATCACTACTTATCTATACGAAGGAACAAAAGTCTGATTTACTCGATATTTGGCACAGATTAAACGGAATTTTCACCCTGCGTGTTGCTCACTTATCTAACTAACGCAATGGCGCGATGAGAACGCTTTCTACACATTCAAATGATTTCTTCTTTTCTTCTTCTTCTTCTTCTTCTTTTTCTTCTTTTTTCCCTCTTTCTTTATCATTAATCCTTCTCCCTTTCATTTTTCGAAAAATGTCGATACTTAATATAAAAGCGGTTCGCGGAAACGTCTATTACTTTTTTTTTCCCCATGGCTTTCTCTCTTGCTTCGATACATATTAATGTGTGTCAAATATTAAGCATATGTACGCATGTGTACGTGTAGTTTGCATATATGTATATATACGTGTACATATATACGTGTACATATATATATATATATATATTCGTGGATTTATATGCTCATGTATATAACAGATTCTGACGATATATCAATTATTATTATATAAGATATTTTTAGAATCGTGTGGAAGAAGAAGTCAAAATAGTAAAATGGTAAAATCGTCGTAATGTAATTCGTTTACCGATAATCACTCATTAATTTATCGAGTCATCGAGTTTAATAATTAAAGAAACTTTACTTTCATCTAATTTCATTCCAAATCAATATATAATAGATAGATAGATTTCCTTTATTTCTTTATTATTAAATATATATATATATATATATATCGTCAGAATTTACTTGTATGTATCGTGTATCTGGTGTCTTAATCGATCTTGTTCGTCTCGAATTCTCGCTCGTTTTCAATCTTTTTGTCACTGCGAACAACACTGGAACAACGCGATAGAAGTATGTGTTTGGAACGTTTGGAAAAAGCAAAATGAAAGAAAGGGGGACGCGAAGGGGGGACGGGGAGGGGAGGGAACAAGAAATTAAAAAAATATAATACGGCGTCGTCAAAAAGTGAACCTTCTCCTCGCGTACTTATTATATAAGTATCTCTAAGTGGATAGCTTCTTCTTTCTTTCCTTTTTTCTTTGAATTCTCGTAACAATATGTAAAAAAAAAGAGAAAGTAGATAAGTATTATGCGCGTGTATATATATACATACGTGTATATACATATATATACATATATATATACATATATATACATATATATATATATACATATATATACATATATATACACGCACAAATTCGCGGAAAAAGGGGGGATCTCGTACCAATTACACGTCTCATGTATATACGTTATATGTCGTGTGTACATATGTATACATCATCGGTACGATATACAGCATACGCAGCCTTACTTATCTATGAATAATTATTAATTGTGGTAGCAATTCATCTTAAGCCTACGAAAAAGAGAAAAGAAATGATAATATTATATCCTCGTAACACGAGGAGAGAAACGCTCGCTTCGCTGTCTCGATTCGCGAAGGGATGAATGGAGGGATGATGGGAAAGACGAATTCGACTTCGATGAAGAGCAATGTGAAGGAGCAATATAATAATAGGAGAGGATGAATCTTTCGAGATTCACGGGGGTGGAGGGGAAGTAAGACACATGGGGAATTGCGATTGTTCGCGAGCGGAGTTCTCGTCGATAAGAAAAGAAGAAAAAGGAAGAAGAAGAAGAAGAAGAAGAAGAAGAAAGAAGGAAGAAAAGAAGAAAGGAAAAAAGGAAGAAACGAGACACGCCGCGAACCGAAAGGTGATATTTACAAGAAGTAGCGAAAAAGGTAATAGCAAATGGTGATGATGGAATTGGGGGATGGAGCGTGAAGTGAAGAACGGGAGGCGCCTTGGGGGGGGGAGGGGGGGAGGGGGATGAATCGAGGGAAACATTTTCGACGACTCGGTGGCGAGGATCCTTTCGTCGAGCTTCGACTTTGGTCCTACCTTCGTTTCGAGTTTCCGACCGCGAATCCCTTCTCCTCTTCGAAATAAACTCGCGATCGGCTGCCTCCCTCTCCTCTCCCCGCGTTTCGGAAAACGGTTTCGTCGCGACTCGTCGAATCGTTCGATTGTGAAAAATTCGCGACCGCGAAGAAGAAGCTCGACACCCACCCCCCTCGAAACATACGCACGTGCATCAAACGTGCTCTGTGTGATCTGATCCGATCGAACGAACGAACGAACGAACGAAATAATAACAACAATTTTCTTTCTTTCTTTTTTTTTTTTTTTGACGCATGGATCCCGGATGGACACACGGGATCGAGAGAGATGGATCGAAACGAAGGCGGACACGACGACGGGCAGTAGGAACATACGGAAACGTCGACCGAACGCAACACCGACAATTAATAATGGCCGGTCGACGATTGCAACATCGAACGCAAGGAGACCTTCCCGAGCGTCTCTTCGAGGAAACGGAGCCTCCGGCTCGAGCGTAAAACATTGTCGCTGAAAAGATTCTTATATCTTCTTTCTCTCTCTCTCTCTCTTTCTCTCTCTCCCTCTCTCTCCCTCTCTTTCTCTCTCTCAATCTCTCTCTCCCCAATCTTCATCTTCTCGTCTCTCTTCTATGTACTTAACGCACTCACACGCTCTCTCTCTCTCTCTCTCTCTCTCTCTCTCTCTCTCTCACGCGTACAACACACTCTTTCTCGAAGCAAATTCCTCTCGATGTCTCGAATCGCGTCGCGGGATTTTTTTTCGATTGTTCGTTTTAATTCTCGAGCGGAGGCGAGTTTGCCGCGGCGGACGCGCGCGTTCAGTTTGCCGATCGCGACGCGCCTTTCGATCACGAGTGCTTCACCACGATCACGCCCGGCCGCTGTTGGGTCTGCTGTTGTTGCCTGTGGAACTGGAGGAACTCGGCCTGGAGTAGCCGCTGCTTCGCTGACGCTGCCGGCGACGCGCCGGGCGTCGTCGACGTTTTGCTCGACGTGATGGCCGTTTGTTTATTGGTCAACGCCAACGGCACGTCCTGGGCCGGCTCGTCGCTGAACAGATGGTCCCCTTCGAGGTGACGTATCGCTTCGACGATCGTTTCCAGATTCTGTCTCGAGGTGTTGGCCAGATAGAGTCTCGCCTGCGGGGACCCGTCGTCCAACGAGTTCGATGGCGACGGCAACCTGAAATTGAAATGGTTAATATCATTTTCTACGTGAGATTGTTCTTTTTTTTTTTTTTTTTTATTTATGTTACGTTATGTCGAATCGCAGATGAACACAGATGGACGCGTTGCGGATATATGATTCTGGGATATTAATGATATTAGAAAATGTAATAACGATGTATGTCGATGATCTATATATTTAGTCGAAGATCTATGGATATGGAAATAATTTGAATTAAAAATGATGAGTTGATGAAAAAAAGATCGTTAGTGGAAATAAATTTCGCGTAACGTCGAAAGTAATTTGGTAACGTTGCATAAAAATGATTCGATAAAACGAGTGACCTTTAAACTGGCTGTAATACATGTCTCGTTATCAGTCAAGTGGGATAATATTCGCAAGAGGAATCGTTACCAGCGCTTGATAAAACATTAATAAGACAAAGACACGTATTACTATTTACCTTGACATTTACCCTACATATTGAATGCAAGTCATATAAGTATACCATGTAAAGTTCATCGTAAAATTAAAACGCTTATATATCTCGTATACGAGACGATATTAATTTTATTACATAATACGAAATTCATTGAAACATTCCCATTACATATTATGTACGAATTTGATAATTACGTTTTCATAATGAAATTCGAGTCAGAATAAGAAATATATTTTATATTTATCATAAAAAGAAGTGACGCGCGGATCTCTGATTATTGACTCTTGGATCTGCACACCATAGATTAAGATTCACAATGCTGTATGAATAAATGTAATATGTAACCATTCAATGATAGATTGTATAAAAATATAAATAATATACATATGAAGTAGATTGTCTCAGATACCAAAATTAATCATTAGAAATATTTTTTAATATTTCTCAAGCATTTTAAAAATATCTAAAAAAAAATTCACAGCATCTCCAACCATTCTACATTGGGATTAGAATAAAATTTTAGAGCAACGATTTGAATACACCGCAAATTATATATAAACCTTTTCAAAAATGGAGTACAAATGATCCTCGTTGAAAATAAAAATTGCTTATTCAAAAATCGGATCAATAAAAAAAAGTTCACCTGCATACATATAATTTTCTAAAACCAAATAGTCGTGCAAATATCAGATCCAGATGCGCATGACCGACTTTTCATCGTGCATCTGTCTTCATTGTTTTCAATTCGAAAAACAAGGAAAGATCGCAAGATCGATCGTCTCGTCTTGCGGACTCGAGCCCCTCGAGCGACTTTTGTCCTTGCGATATCTCTCAGATTATACATCTACCTTAAGAAAAAAAAAAAAAAAAAAGAGAGAAAAAAAAAAGGCAAGAAAAAAACGTACAAGGACGAAAATCGCTCATCTGCATAATACCTCGACGCACGAATATTATATTATGGCAAAATCAGTTGCCGATCAATCGAAACGAGCGACGACTTACCTCTATAAAAAAAAAAAAAAGAAGAAAAATCTACTTACCTCTCGACTTCAACCTTCGGCTCCGCTTTCATCGCGGCTTCGAGGATGCTGGGCAGCCGCTGCGGTTCCGCGGCCGGTGAGAACGGTCTGGCGGGGCTGGTGGTGATGTACTGGGGTGACGCGTTCTTGAACTCCCCCGTACTCGTGGTGTACGTGACACGACTCGAGGAGGAGAACGAGTCGGCGGTAGTCTGCTCGTCGATCGCGGAGAACACCTGGTTCTGGCCGAACGTCACGATCTTTGGCGAGCCCGGGCCGGACTCCTCCTCTTTGATCTCCTCTGGTACCATGTCCGCGGGCTGTGGAGACAGGGGCGGTGAACTTGGATCCGGACTAGACGTTTCCACGGTCTGCGTCGTGCCAACCTGTGCCAAAGACACCACGGAAACTACCTGAAGCGCGGCAACTGCGTCCTCCGTTTCTTGAGCGATCACGTTGTCCGTGTGTTCGATCACCTGAGGGATGACAAATATTTTCCTTGTAATCGAATCTATATATTTCTTTTTCCTTTTGATAAAAACTTTTTATTTATTCGAGATACTCGGTTTGTATATATATATATATATATATATATTGAAATATAATATCAAGTAAGTATTCTTTAAGATATGTATATGACAAGGTATACGATAATTTTGTATATATGCATATAAATGTAGAAGCAAGCGTGGAGGGAAATATTGAAATACCTCGTGAGGTTGGTAAGTGATTAGCTGATTATCTCTAAATCTCTCCGGATACAGTTGATTCTGTATAACTCTCATTTGCTTCTCTAGACGCAACCTCGCGTGGCGTTCCCTCTCTAACTGTCGCCTCAGCTCTACCACCTCGTTGTTGACCACGGAATGTCCCTCCGTGGTTACCGTTATTACCGACAATGGTTCAGGGGACATGCTGCCCAATCCTTCGTCACCGCTCTCGCTAACGTGCATCGGTAGACTAACCACGACGCCTCCTGGAAAACGAAGAAATTTCACGCGAGGAATAAGTCGAGGAACGAAATTGTTCGAGACATGTTTTTAACGATTTTTTAAAAATTATTAACTCGAACGAAACGATCTCGAAAGGGTTGGTCATTAATCCGTGATAATTGATCGTTACTCGAGACGAGGCGGAAAATATGGGATCCTCTTTTTCATTCGACTTGAATTAACTCGAAAGTTTAATCGCGAGAATGGAGGGAGGGGAGGCAAGTTTCGATTCTATCGATCGGATCGCGCGCCACTTCTTTTCCTCCCCCTTGTGCACGGGATAGAATATCCGGGGATGGGGGATGGGGGAGAGGAGTCTGCAGGAATGTAATTACTCGCGCGAAAATGACGAACGACACCTTCTATATTAACTTTCGCCACTGCCGCCAACAAATTAAAAAATTCCCCTACGAGATGTTGGCGATAAGTCAGTATCATGAAGCAAGTTATTCTTCGAATATCGGCGACTAAATTAGTGATGATTCCGCGGCTAACGTTTCGTCGTTCTCTGGTTTTTTCTTCTTTTTTTCTTCTTTTTTTTTTTTTTTTTTCGACGATAATATTTTTACGATCGTGCCACGATCATTTAAATAAACTCCGTTATTTAAAATTTTCCTATGATTATCTTTTTATTTATGTATCTCATCACATTTATTATTAATTTTATTATTAATGAATATTTTTACGATGATACTTTATTCATGCAGCCCGTCATTTTTATTACGTTTTAAGATTAGAAAGTACGATTTTACGATTCATCATAAATTATGATTAAGCGTAAGTATGAAATTAATTTTGATTCGTTTATTTCATTGCTTTTTCATTCGTTTTAAAATTCAATATATCGTCTCGAAGGATTATATAATGTACGTTAATTGACGGCTTGTTAGAGTTGTCACGAGCAAAATTCAATTATCTTTCCGAGGGAAGAGATTAAAAAGATATTCACCTTGATTATCTGGTTTGCGTTTCTTGATCGGAACATCGCCACCCTCGTGCTGGTTAACCAGTCGTTTCAATTGACAATTCTGTGACAACAGTTGGGTCTTTTCTTGTTCCAGCTGGTATATATATTCGGCAGTCTGCTGAAGTATCGCAGCCTGAAATGAAAATAATAGTTTTTTTTTTTTTTTCTTTTCTTATTTTATTTATAAGTTAAAATACTTTCCCTTAAATTATTTTGTTAAATATATTGTTAACATTCTCTACTCTCTTCTTCCAGGCAGATTCTTCGACGGATTTAATAAATTACTATGAATAATATATAATCCTCATACATATTTTCTCCGCATCAATATCCATTCCATCCATATTAAATCAGACGCTTACTAAATAATTTCTACAACACACACAACACACATACGGGAAAAAATCAATTCTCTGTTTGAAATATATACATATATACATATATAGAGTAACATTTGATTAAATTTGCAAGCCTTAGAAATCTTCGATTTTTCTTTCGAAAGTATACAAATTTTTTTCAGAAATGAGGATGTACGAAAAGAAATCTGATCGAAAAGACGAAACATTATTCCCACCTGATTTTTTTCAGAAATAAAAAAGGAAAAAAAACAGAACAGTTTCTGATTTCCCACGTGATCTTTCTCGGAAATAAGAAATCGGAATATCGTAAAAAAAAAAAAAAAAGAAAAAAAAAAAAGAAACGCATCGAAAACTGGGTCGTGTTATGTTAAAAAGAATCGAGATTAACGAGGTATACAGGTGTTCCATAAACGACATGCATCGAAAGGTAAAAAAAAAAAGGGGTAAAAGATACTTCCTGTTTACATGGTTTAAAGGCGATTTTCTCTGCGCAATAAAATCCAGAATGGCGACGTACATATTATACATATATATATATACATTATATATATATATATATATATATTGTACGCATCGTACGCACGTACTACGTCGTAGTAAAACACGGCGAAAACAAAAGGGCCAATTGATACCGAGTCGAAGGTAACGGGCTGGCTGTGTGTACGTTTCGCACCTGCCGACAGGTGGTCAACGAACAGATGCCCCTGTTTAGCCCTGAAGCTTCCTCGCGATGCACCAGCGTCTTTCCTGTTCTTCCATCCGGAGATATGCATTTAAAAATATGTACATATACGTGTCACCTTTCGTGGAATTTGTGTGACACGAGGAATGTTTAATTGGATTATATATATTTTTTTTTTGCTCCGAGGAGAATTTATCATTCTTATTCTCCATTATTCGAGATCAATATTCGGTAAGTTCTTTTCTTCTTCTTCCTTTCTTTTCTTTTTTTCTTGATTTCAACGTATCGTAATTTACCAGGCGACGTATCAAATCGTCGTCGTTTGGTTAAGTTCTAAACTATCGAAACTACTGTTATGAATCTAATGTTATGAAATCGTATATAGTATCAAGCACAGTGCGTGAACGTTGATGAAGGAAATCTTAACGATGCGTTAACGGCGTATCACATTGCGAATCACGCGCATTCACAATAAGCTTCTGACATCATCGGTTAAAATCTCTGGTTTTAGAAACGAGTAACGAGTCTAAATACGAACGAATTGGAAAGAGGGGGAGAAATTTTTAAAAAAGGAGCGTGACGTCAAACGTGCGTAGAGAAAAGAAAAGAAAAATCATCGAATCGTCACAGAAAGATGATATATATATATATATATAGAGAGGTATATAAATATGCAAATGGGCGAAAAGAATAGAGGGAGGAGAGGAGGAAACGAAAGAAATTTGATGAAGGATAAGATTAAAAGGAAACTTGTCAAACGAGAGTAACGAGATAGATTGAAGTGGAGCCTCTTATGGAGAATATTTGAGAGGAGGAAGAAGGGAAAGAAACGGTCCACGATGGAATTCAATAAAGGGAGGAGACGAGGAAAGGGAAATATTGCGCGAGGAATGGAAAATGATGTCTCGGGAGAGAGAGAGAGAGAGAGAGAGAGAGAGTGGTACGTCGACGATTAGAGTAAGAAAAGAAGAGAAAATCTCTGAGAAAGGATACTTGTCACTCGTGAGACAAAGATTATTTTACTTGGGAAAAGCTATAATTATCAGAACTATGATTTATTTATCAACGAATTTAAAAAAAATATATATGTATATTAAATTTCTTTTCTTGCGTGTAAAAAACGCATTTATTGTAAAGTAAAATTGGAGAATAAAAGTTTCAAATAGTATTTCAAACTTTCAAGCTACTATTGCATTGAGAGGTTTGAATGGAAAAGAAAGAACAACGAAGAAAGAAAGAAAGAAAGAAAGAAAGAAAGAAAGAAAGAAAGAGGCGTAAAGGAGGAGTTTTAACGAGAGAAAGATGAAAAGAAGGAAGGGTGCCTCGACAATAATATCATCGGTCAAAGGAACCGGATACCAAAAGGAGTACGGTGGCTCTCTTATTATTGCGTTCGCGTGTAAGATCGATCTTAGAGGCGAAATCGCAAACGCGCACTCGGCATCTGTTGTGGACGCAAAAAAAAAGAAAAAAAATTTGAACGAAAGAAAAAAAAACGCTACCCTTTGCTTTGTTCCTCTTTGTTCCGCGACCGTGCAATTAAAAAAATCCAGGATGCGAGCGGAAATATAATCCGAATCCGCATTTGGCGAATCTGACACTCCCTTTGCAAATAAATTTTAAGCAAAGATTATAAACAAAAAGGAAATCTCACAATTATTTTTCAAATGTATATATATATATATGTATATCATTCCAATTTCCCGCCCTATTAGTTCTGTTACTTTAATGCTCGTGGAACACCAAAGTAGTTTGATTACGTATCGCGTGACTCGATCGTTTAAATTCGAGGCGAGTCGTTTTTTAACTCTGGACAATTGGCAATGCGAAGGGAAAGGTATAGAAATGTTTGTCGTTCTTTCCAATGTGTTTTCAAGAACAGCGGTGATCGGGCTTCAATTTCAAAGGCGTAATGGCGGACCAAATCGTATTATTGCGTGTCGATACGCATTTTCGTATTCAACGATCAGCTATAAGATTCTTTAATAATTTACATTTTATAACCCTAAAAACGTAAATTATTATAATATCGTATAATAATATTTGTACTGATAAATAATTTTTCTATTTCCTTCTAGATCGAGATCATCTATAAATTTACTTTCTTCTAAAATACTCGCACGAGTTCCTGTTAAAAAAAGTAATTATGGTTAGTTTTATTAAACAACGAATCGTCATTGTACATTGACAAGCGATACGAATACAAAGAAAAAGATATATGACAATTGTGAACGAGGTCGAAGCCTGAATATCAATCACATTTTAAACACGACTTTAATTTAAATATATTCTTATACTTTGTAAATCATTCGAACATCGGACGAAGAAGAGAGAGAAACTTAAAATTGAACTTAAAAGAAAATTAAATTCACAATGTGATAAATTTTAATTTCAAAAAGAAAAAGAAAAAGAAAAATATACAGTTATTGCCCTCGCAAAAATCTTTCCTCTTTTTTTATCTCTCTCCACATTTACATATCTACATTCTTCTCTCGAAGAAACTCGACTCTACAGTTTAAGAATCGCGGTTTTACGCTCGCTTTATTGTTTTAGATTGGCGTGACCATCGTTGCGAGCAACGAGGGGTTAACTATAATCGCAGGAATAAACGAGGACAAGACGTTTGCTCGTCCAAACAGAGAGAGAGAGAGAGAGAGAGAGAGAGAGAGAGAGAGAGAGAGAGACAGAGAGAAGAAAGCGACGCAACGAGGCAGGAGAGAAACGGTTTCTACGACGATTAGGGAGGCCGGAAGGCCATGTGCACGGTTTCTTCGACCAGAGCTCCGACGCACGTGCCGAAATCTCGTTAATATACTATTCTGCAAAGTCGTGGCAGGCCAAGGTCGATCCTCGAGCCCGTTTCCTGAACACAGGGCACAGATAGCGATTTATCATTGAAAACAGAGAGAGAGAGAGAAAAAGAGCCGATCCGAGTTGGCCAATTTTTTTTTTTTTTTTTTTTCTTTTAAATAAATCCGCTTCGAAAATCTCATGCGAATAATAAAATTTTTTTCTAGCGACCTCGATCGAGATGCAAAAAATCTTATAGATATACAATTGATACCTCTCTACGAGGCTAAAATTTTTATCACACGATTAAAATGCTGTGTTTAATTTAACAAGTAAGCGCAACAATTTAAATATTCCGTATTCGTTACTGTAAGAACTAAGATTTACTGGTGAGAGTAGCGACAATTAAAGGGGATACAATTAAAACATCAGAGATCGATAATTTTCAATCGGAAATAAATCGTGGATGCGGAGATAAAATACGGAAAAATCGAATCCGAGTTTTCTATCATTTCTAGCGATTCGCGGTATCGAGATTTCACGTACGACACGTGTTATCCCAGCTGGGGTTTTTATCGGGGCGGCAATTTTTCGCCGTAAATCGCCTATTTTCCCGGCCTGGTGCCGCGCTGGAAAAATCAGGATACGACAGCTGTGACCGTGACTGAATGGGCTGACGACACGGCCGATCGATAAGAGGCGAAAGACTAGAGAGGGTATAATGCGGCGTGCAGCTGGCCGATCGAAAGAAAGGAAAGTTCACAGCCGTAGAACGTTATCCAGTACGGGGTTATCCAGTTCGTGACCCTACCTGTTCGACATCATTTCCACGTGGACATCCGATTCTGGGCGCGTGAAATTTCTGTTCGATAACGAGGGGAAAAAAATGTGAAATTCACTGAAAAAATGTGAAACAATGATATCAAAAATATGGATTATTATTATTATTACTATGTATATATGTATATATATATTTTTAGATCAAAGATATCGTTACGAGTTTCACGAACGAGTTTGAGCGCGAAACGATGGATATTGATTGGAATGCGAATAATAAAAATTTGATCGGAGGAGAGATGCTCTTTTGTTAGTAGATATATGTATATATATATATATTTTCTAACTATTTATTTTTTATCACGTGCACATGGAGAAATGGAATCTCGCATAACAGGTGCGAGCGATGGATATGATATGAAATGATATACGAGTGAATGTAATTCTAAGAATACACACGAATGCATCGTGTCACGTGGTGTGGAGAGAACACAAGTTCCGTATACGTGTATGTGCCTGCGATCT